TGTTCTAGGTGAAAATATACACACTGAGTATTGGTATTACTATTCAAACATTGACAAATGCCAAGGGTCATACTTGAAGGATTAAAACCCTAGGCAGGTGACGTAAGCAGATGAAGCTAACCAGGTCGGGCGTCATCACCCGTGGTCTTCCAGAATGAGTCGTGTCATTGTTCCTTTGGCTTGGTAACAGTGCTAAAGTCGTCCTATGGTGCTCCGTGAAACGTTCAGTACCGTTACCAAGACTGACTGAGTGTAACCGGCTTTGGTATTGTTTCGTCGAGCCTCAGTAAGTCTAGATATTACTTACAACGTTCAATGCTCCTTTGGTATGTGAAGAAGAAAAAACTAATGCACATTTTAAAACTAATGTGCGTGATTCATGGGACTGTCATTTTAATGTTGTTTCTTTATTACTTATTTTCGGGGTTCTGTCGCATTTGGGTGTATTTGGGGGCTAACGTAAGTCAGTATGTGTGATGCACATTGTCAAAACATATAGAGCCAATGGTACCCATGAATCATTTCCTTCTAAAAGGTCTCAATGCACATTTAAATCCAGTTTAGTTTTTATATCTGTTGTGAGCAACAGTACCGTGGCGCCTATTTCTACCAGTTCTAAAACTTCCACCGTTTTTAGTGTGCATATCTTTATCTTTGGTAATATACTATGATACCGAGTCTACCGAGACAGAAACCTCGTTTCTCTCAAAATCAGATTCATACAAATATTGCTCAATATCGTCTGATATACTGTCTTTCTGGTTGTTGACTGACTCCGCAGTCAACAATATTCCACCTCAATGACGGCGGTAATTTGGTACAGGTAAGGAAAGAAGAAAAGGAGAAGAAAGCCGACCTTACACAACTTATATAACGGTAACGTGTATTCACAATGATAATATTACCATTGTGTGAGTTGTGTGAAAGCAGGAAATACTTACTCTTTGCACTCTGGTGTCATCACTGAAAGCTTTACTAAGGCTTTGAATGTTGTAACCCTATCAAACAACTTTTGACCAAGGCTGGAGGTGCTTGGATATTGCTCGAGAGTTGACTACTTGAATATTGTTGCCTCTTATGCCAAGCATGGTATGCTAGTGACCAATATTCGGGGAATCTCCATGAGTCCCACCAGTCCCACGTGTTCATTATGGGCTGCCTGTTTAATGTCTTTGTTATCAAAAACATCTATCTGGACTTCACGTACGCTCAGCTAAAACTCCCAAATACAAAATTGGTGTGGTCAAACATGTTGCCTCGACAAACCTGGCGACGCGCAAGCAATGTCAGAGAATTGAACTGAAAAGAAAATTGCTGGAGTGATCAGGGAAGAGGGGGTCTAAGAAGTATGACGCCCCAGTTTACACTCCTCGGGGAGTCCATTTAAAACCGGGCGGGCATGGCCCACTTTAAAACAAATGTATACAGGATAGTTTAGTTGTAAGTAAAGGTACAGTTCCGGGTAAGTATGTAACTTCACTTTTGAGGAAGTGCATAATTTTTATTTTCCTTCTCAGTCCCTTATCCCCTCCCCAGCCGCCTTCAACATCATAATTTAATTTGATATAATGTGTGGAAGTCAGCGGTGTGCAAAATGTTTATATACATTTTGCGCCCTGTTGTTTGGCATGGAGCAGTCGGGGGCTTTAGTTTAACACCATGCTGGTGTGTGTACGATACTTTGGCTGCCTGCTAACTACAGCGGGAGCCCAAATTCTTCTGCCCGCTGTTTCCGCGGGGGGAGTGACAGTATCTTTGCTGAGGGTCTGTATGCGATTTCTAGTCCGCGGTATGACCTTGCATATCGCCTCCGCCTGCATCATCCACACTCTGCCCATTATAACCCACAAAACATCATTGTTTGTTAATCTTTCCTTCTAAGGTAGTCTGAACATAATACTTCACTAACAGTTTCTAAAATCTTCTTAATTAATATATGACTAACTCGGAAACTCTATCCGGTGGCTTTGTTCAATAGCAAACATTTTATTTAATCTTCAATTCAATGTTTTTGTTATAATAACACTTCCTATTCTAGCTTCTTTAAACTCCCAAAATAAGGTAATTGTTTAGATAGTTAATTTATGTATCACCATCAGAGTAGATAGTCTGTCCTTCATAACTGTATGCTGCCTAAGAGAAGGTATTGGTGAAGCTGTCTCAGAATATTATACAATACAACTTAAACAAGAGGGTGAATTTCTGTTACATCTCTGTCATTCAGGACAGCTTCAGGACAATCTCACAGAGAAAACAATATGTGAAATGCTATACCTCCTCATAGATAATGTCTCTCTGAAATGTGGAGATAGGATAGTATAAGTAAGAAGGGGCACCAATCGTGTTCCTCTTATTGCTTATTATATCTATATAAGTGGAGAGGGCGCGTCACTAGTCAATCTCACATCACATCTCACATTTCATCTGCCATAACATCAAGACCAGCTTTCGTGTGAAGATCACTTTTCACCCTGGTGTTCAGCCTATGCCTATCTCGGAAGCTTGACCACTGTTATGGCGAGGTGACTATTATCATTTCCACTTCTATCACATTTTAAACTGCCATTGAATATTGTACTACAACTCTAGTGTGTACTGCCACTCAATTTGGGAATCGAAATGTAACAGTGTACATGAATAATCATAAGCACATACTGTTAAATTAGTATTAACATATTATCATACTTGCATCCACACTGCATTTGTATAATTACACATATATTAGGGTTTTACATAGCATGCTACAGGCATAAATGCCTTTTTAGGCAAAGGCTTTAAATCCAGAAATAGCTTTGAAAGTGTCATTCTATAAACACTTATCTATAACCTCAATCTGGTTCACATATCAATACTATAACACATTATCAATAACTTCTCGCTGTTCCCTCAATCTGGTTCACATATCAATACTATTAACACATTATCAATAACTTCTCGCTGTTTCCTCAGTCTGGTGCATATATCAATACTATAAACACATTATCAATAACTTCTCGCTGTTTCCTCAGTCTGGTTCACATATCAATACTATAACACATTATCAATAACTTCTCGCTGTTCCCTCAATCTGGTTCACATATCAATACTATAAACACATTATCAATAACATCTCGCTGTTCCCTCAATCTGGTGCACATATAAATACCATAAGCACATTATCTATAACTTCTCGCTGTTCCCTCAATCCGGTGCACATATAAATACTATAAGCACATTATCTATAACATCTCGCTGTTCCCTCAATCTGGTGCACATATCAATACTATAAACACATTATCAATAACTTCTCGCTGTTTCCTCAGTCTGGTGCACATATCAATACTATAAACACATTATCAATAACTTCTCGCTGTTTCCTCAGTCTGGTTCACATATCAATACTATAACACATTATCAATAACTTCTCGCTGTTCCCTCAATCTGGTTCACATATCAATACTGTAAACACATTATCAATAACATCTCGCTGTTCCCTCAATCTGGTGCACATATAAATACTATAAGCACATTATCTATAACATCTCGCTGTTCCCTCAATCTGGTGCACATATCAATACCATAAACACATTATCAATAACTTCTCGCTGTTTCCTCAATCTGGTTCACATATCAATACTATAAACACATTATCAAGAACTTCTCGCTGTTTCCTCAGTCTGGTTCACATATCAATACTATAACATATTATCAATAACTTCTCGTTGTTCCCTCAATCTGGTTCACATATCAATACTATAAACACATTATCAATAACATCTCGCTGTTCCCTCAATCTGGTGCACATATAAATACTATAAGCACATTATCAATAACATCTCGCTGTTCCCTCAATCTGGTGCATATATCAATACTATAAACACATTATCAATAACTTCTCGCTGTTCCCTCAATCCGGTGCACATATAAATACTATAAGCACATTATCTATAACATCTCGCTGTTCCCTCAATCTGGTGCACATATCAATACTATAAACACATTATCAATAACTTCTCGCTGTTTCCTCAGTCTGGTGCATATATCAATACTATAAACACATTATCAATAACTTCTCGCTGTTTCCTCAGTCTGGTTCACATATCAATGCTATAACATATTATCAATAACTTCTCGCTGTTCCCTCAATCTGGTTCACATATCAATACTATAAACACATTATCAATAACATCTCGCTGTTCCCTCAATCTGGTGCACATATAAATACTATAAGCACATTATCAATAACATCTCGCTGTTCCCTCAATCTGGTGCATATATCAATACTATAAAGACATTATCAATAACTTCTCGCTGTTCCCTCAATCCGGTGCACATATAAATACTATAAGCACATTATCTATAACATCTCGCTGTTCCCTCAATCTGGTGCACATATCAATACTATAAACACATTATCAATAACTTCTCGCTGTTTCCTCAGTCTGGTGCACATACCAATACTATAAACACATTATCAATAACTTCTCGCTGTTTCCTCAGTCTGGTGCACATATAAATACTATAAGCACATTATCTATAACATCTCGCTGTTCCCTCAATCTGGTGCCCATATCAATACTATAAACACATTATCAATAACTTCTCGCTGTTCCCTCAATCCGGTGCACATATAAATACTATAAGCACATTATCTATAACTTCTCGCTGTTCCCTCAATCTGGTGCACATATCAATACTATAAACACATTATCAATAACTTCTCGCTGTTTCCTCAGTCTGGTGCACATATCAATACTATAAACACATTATCAATAACTTTTCGCTGTTTCCTCAGTCTGCTGCACATATAAATACTATAACCACATTATCTATAACATCTCGCTGTTCCCTCAATCTGGTGCCCATATCAATACTATAAGCACATTATCTATAACATCTCGCTGTTCCCTCAATCTGGTGCCCATATCAATACTATAAACACATTATCAATAACTTCTCGCTGTTCCCTCAATCCGGTGCACATATAAATACTATAAGCACATTATCTATAACTTCTCGCTGTTCCCTCAATCTGGTGCACATATCAGTACTATAAACACATTATCAATAACTTCTCGCTGTTTCCTCAGTCTGGTGCACATATCAATACTATAAACACATTATCAAGAACTTCTCGCTGTTTCCTCAGTCTGCTGCACATATAAATACTATAAGCACATTATCTATAACATCTCGCTGTTCCCTCAATCTGGTGCCCATATCAATACTATAAACACATTATCAATAACTTCTCGCTGTTTCCTCAGTCTGGTGCATATATCAATACTATAAACACATTATCAATAACTTCTCACTGTTTCCTCAGTCTGGTTCACATATCAGTACTATAACACATTATCAATAACTTCTCGCTGTTCCCTCAATCTGGTTCACATATCAATACTATAAACACATTATCCATAACATCTCGCTGTTCCCTCAATCTGGTGCATATATCAATACTATAAAGACATTATCAATAACTTCTCGCTGTTTCCTCAGTCTGGTGCACATATCAATACTATAAAGACATTATCAATAACTTCTCGCTGTTTCCTCAGTCTGGTGCATATATCAATACTATAAAGACATTATCAATAGCTTCTCGCTGTTTCCTCAGTCTGGTGCACATATCAATACTATAAACACATTATCAATAACTTCTCGCTGTTCCCTCAATCTGGTTCACATATCAATACTATAAACACATTATCAATAACATCTCGCTGTTCCCTCAATCTGGTGCACATATAAATACTATAAGCACATTATCTATAACATCTCGCTGTTCCCTCAATCTGGTGCACATATCAATACTATAAACACATTATCAATAACTTCTCGCTGTTTCCTCAGTCTGGTGCATATATCAATACTATAAACACATTATCAATAACTTCTCGCTGTTTCCTCAGTCTGGTTCACATATCAATACTATAACACATTATCAATAACTTCTCGCTGTTCCCTCAGTCCGGTGCATATATCAATACTATAAAGACATTATCAATAGCTTCTCGCTGTTTCCTCAGTCTGGTGCATATATCAATACTATAAAGACATTATCAATAACTTCTCGCTGTTTCCTCAGTCTGGTGCACATATCAATACTATAAAGACATTATCAATAACTTCTCGCTGTTTCCTCAGTCTGGTGCATATATCAATACTATAAAGACATTATCAATAGCTTCTCGCTGTTTCCTCAGTCTGGTGCACATATCAATACTATAAACACATTATCAATAACTTCTCGCTGTTTCCTCAGTCTGGTGCACATATCAATACTATAAGCACATTATCAATAACTTCTCGCTGTTCCCTCAATCTGGTGCCCATATCAATACTATAAACACATTATCAATAACTTCTCGCTGTTTCCTCAGTCCGGTGCATATATCAATACTATAAAGACATTATCAATAGCTTCTCGCTGTTTCCTCAGTCTGGTGCACATATCAATACTATAAACACATTATCAATAACTTCTCGCTGTTTCCTCAGTCTGGTGCACATATCAATACTATAAGCACATTATCAATAACTTCTCGCTGTTCCCTCAATCTGGTGCCCATATCAATACTATAAACACATTATCAATAACTTCTCGCTGTTTCCTCAGTCTGGTGCATATATCAATACTATAAACACATTATCAATAACTTCTCGCTGTTTCCTCAGTCTGGTGCACATATCAATACTATAACACATTATCAATAACTTCTCGCTGTTCCCTCAATCTGGTTCACATATCAATACTATAAACACATTATCAATAACATCTCGCTGTTCCCTCAATCTGGTGCACATATAAATACTATAAGCACATTATCTATAACATCTCGCTGTTCCCTCAATCTGGTGCACATATCAATACTATAAACACATTATCAATAACTTCTCGCTGTTTCCTCAGTCTGGTGCATATATCAATACTATAAACACATTATCAATAACTTCTCGCTGTTTCCTCAGTCTGGTGCACATATCAATACTATAAACACATTATCAATAACTTCTCGCTGTTTCCTCAGTCTGGTGCACATATCAATACTATAAACACATTATGGTAAGAGACACATCACATTATAAGTGTATTTCACCTGCTCAAGGTTGAAATGGACATCAGGTTCGTCGTTCAAGTGTATAATATCAACACCACTTTCCAGAAATGTGACAATGTAGAGGCTGTTGTTGTGGGAGATGATGTTGAAAATAAAGCCACTGGCCTCCCTGATCTCCGCGAAGACGTTCGTAGCCAGAGATAACTTCATTACCTTCTTTCCTTCACCGAAATATAGAATATTACTAACAATATCAACCGTCACACCGAGTATGTTTTTCCCTGCCTTTATTCTGTGGACATTCTTCCCTCTGTAACTAACCGACCACAATGCATCATAATTACAGAAATATATCATTCTCCTTCTTGTATCAACAGCTATACCCAGTGGGCTGTTTGATCCAAGTTCAGTCACATCCACAATATTCCTGAATTTCTTCCCCCATATTGACATACGGCTGATTGTTGCCCTGGCACGGAAGACATTGGTGAGAAAGATGAGTCGTCTGTGAACATCTACAGCTATTCCGTATGACCTGACCCCAGCCTTGAGTGTTGTAAGTGTAAAGCTATACGCGTCTAAAGCAGACGAGAAGATACCGTCTGAGCTGTCAATGGAGAATATGAGTCTCCTTGAAACAGGATCAGATGCAAAAGCCCTGATATTTGATGGATCCAGGTACTGATATTTCGTCATGGCGTGGGTCTGTATGTTTATCTGTTTCGCGATTGTGCTGTTAGAATATCGCTGTACAACCAATATCCTGGTCATGTCTTTGCTCCTATGTGATGTAGGCGATGTTGTACGCACTGATGGGGATGGGGACACAGGAGGAGACGTCAGTACAAGTTCTTGGGTGTCGTTAACGCTGACGCCACAAGTCTCTTTCTCGGGTGACTCTGTGGTGTTGATGTACTCCTGATGAGAGTTTTCCACAACCTCCGTGTCCACAGCGTGACTCTCATTCAGCCGGTGAAACTCTCTCCCCAGTTTCCCCTTCCCTGTTTCAAGATGGTCAAGTTTCATTTCTATCTTGTCCACGGCTGACTCCAACTTTTCCCTTTCAGTAGCCTGTGTCTGGCAGCTGTGATTCAACATGGCCACGTGCTCCGTTAGTGACGTCACATCTTGTTGCAAGCTTGATATCATGATGTTTGTATTGTTCAAGTCAGTCTGTAGAAGAGACAATTGGTTTTTACAAATGTCAGGGAGCAGAGTTAAAATAGGACAATTGTTTTCACACGTTTGGCACAATACAGAGATGCAAGCACTCATATATAAGTGTACATACATACCCATACATACATATACACATACATTCATATATGCCTTGTACACATACTCATTACACACACACGTGTGTGAGTGCTTGCATCTCTGTACTGTGACAGATGAGAGAATACAATTGTCCTGTTTTAACATACACCGTACTTATAAAACGAGAACGTAGAGCATTATACATACGGATTATCAAATAAAGCCGCACCAAAGAATGATAATAACATTGAGGTAGAACCTCTGTTGTCAGTCTGTATAGTCGTCTTACCTGAAACACATTATGTTGATGAGCTGTAGAGTCTCTCAGAACGGACTTGTCTGGAGGATGTCTGTGTCCAGTGTTCTCGGCAGTCCGCAGATGTCTGGAGAGGCTGTGTATCTGTCTCTTCATCTGTTGATGTTCCTGCTTCAGTTGTCTCATCTGGGACATCACGTGGCTGTTCACCATGGAGTCAATAGACCTCTCTCGCAGAACCTGTGTCCAGGATGCTTCTATTTGACTGTGTACGTAGGCAGGTACGATCTTCTCTATTAGTTCAGTTCGCAAAATCAAATTCAAGATGCGCATTTTGTTAATGACTTTGGTCTCAATATGTTGAACTTCAACTTTCAAGTGTTTGATTTCTTTCTCTGTCAACGCGATAAGGTCAATAACAGGAGCAATATTTTCCTGTCCATGTGCCAACTGTATTACAAGTGACAGTACAATGGTCACACATATTCCCGCCATGTTTGTCGTTGAACGAGCGACAATGTTGGAGCAGGGAAGACTTTGGTGTGTGGCAGGAAACACTTCACCCTCTTCCTTACGAACTCGGTTGCAGTATCACGTGACTGGCGTTCTCTCATCCCGATGCATCTACCACGACGAGGCAGGTCTAAAGAGCCGATTATATAAATAACTGTCTGCGGGGTTTGTTTTGTAACTACAGCAAACATCCCACTGCGAGTGGTACACATGTATAATGTTGAATATTCTATTCATTTTTGCACAAATCAATATGACTGATTTCTTCTTCACGCACCAACATCCCTATTTTGAGACGATAAACAGCCAACATGGCGAACATATAGTGAGGTTCCTTACATTCGTGTGTACAATATCTACCTTGTGCTTGTTAACCTTGTGTGTAGATAAGTATGGAAAGTATGTGAAGCCCAATTCTGGTGTCCCCCGCCGTGATATTGCTAGACTATTGCTAAGGCGGCGTAAGACCAAACCCACTCACTCGCTGAAATGTAAGGCAGCTTTGCTTGCAAGTGAGAACAGCAATCCCAATGTAAAAAGCTACCATAATGTCATGAAATGAATACAGAAAAAAGTCTGACATCATTCAAATTTCACAATAGGATTCTCGAGCGAGTGAGAGTGAGTGAGTGAGTGAGTGACAGGCAGACAAGGAGTCGAACAAACAAACAAATCCAAAACTTACAAATCTGGGGAGATATTTCAAATAACTGAAGGGCGGTAGATTAACTGTTTTTGAAACCAGCCGGGCATCTATGTAATGGAGGTTAAAATGAAAATAATATGTTTGCTTTTTTAATTACAACACATTGATGAATTAGCCAGCTCACACATGTGAATTACTTTATGTTTCACTTGTGTTTTATTATATATATTTCTTATACAAGCGACACTTGTGTACATATAAGTTGTAGAAGTTGTACAACGTTGGCTTTTGTCTTCTTTCTTTTGTCTACCTGTACCAATAGCTCATTATGGCACTAAATGTGTCACTTTACAAGGATATTTCAAGAACTTCCTTGTCCAGATGTGTAACATCACCTCCTTCTGACACCGAAATATAGCATATTATTTACAGTGTCCAGTGTTACAGATCTTAGGAACTCACTGTGCACCATTCTGTGGAGACTCTTTCCGTCAACATGATCCAACCACAATCCATCATAATCTCCAAAATATATCATTATTTTTACTACACCTTACCCTTATATTAGTATGGCTTTCTTCTGCTTTTCTTCTTCCCTTTACCTGTTCCAAGACATCCACTAATCATGACACTAAGCATATGAAATTAGCAGAATATTTCATCTTTGTCAGATTGAAAAGAACATCATTGTCCAGGTGTATAAATCCTTTGGCCAAGACGAGGCTGCTGTTGTAAGAGATGAGGCTCAGGATGATGTAACCAACCTCCTTGATCTCCGAGGTGATGTTATTCGCCAGAGACCTTCCCATCACCTTCTTCCTGTCACCGTAATATAGCATATTATGTACAGTGTCCAGTGCAACCGCTTGTAGGGCCGCACCGTCCCCCATTCTGCGGAGATTCTTCCCATCATGGCCAACGGACCACAATCCGAAAGTAGGTAGTGAGGACGATGAGTCGTCTGTCAACATCTGCAGCCATTCCATATGACCTGATTCCATCCTGTTTTGTGGTGTTGTAGACATTGACGTGGGGGAGAACACAGGCGGTACACTATTTTGTGCTGTATTGGACAGATTAGTACCGTCACGTCTTGATCCAGGTATGCCACTTTGTGTAGTTAGAATCAGTTCACTTTGTATGCGGATCACCTGTGCGGGGTGAAAGTGATGCTTGACTCCGTGTTCCTCCATGTCTGGGCTGGCTGTGTCTCTTCATCTGTTGATGTTCCTTCTTCAAATGTCTCATCTGGGACATCACTTAGGTCTTGTCCACGTGTCCTGTGTCCTTGACGCTCCTATTTGGCTGAAATCCGGGCAGATTCGGGGTAGAATAGGTCTCAAGCAACCCATGCTTGTCATACAAGGCAACTTTGCTTGTCGTAAGAGACGATTAACGGGTTCGGGTAGTCAACCTCGCTGACTTGGTTTGAATTGTTTAAATCACTTTGCCCCGGGACTAATGCCCCCATTTCATTACGACCACGAATATCCCGAATCACGCCGAATAGGAATTTTTTCATGTTCGTAGATAAATCTCAATCATTTCTTGAAGTTCTTAAATGAATCTTATTTCATTCCCAAACATTCGTACACTTCGCGGGAGTTCGTCGAATCGGCGAGAAAGTTTTTGTTTGTCAAAAACATTCGTGGAAGGGTCCCCGAATTGCAATTTCGTGGCTGTATCGTAATCCATTCGTAATTTACCTCTTATGTTCCGTAACAGCTTCGTAATCGGTTCGTTCGCATTCTTGGCTATTCTTAGCGATTTGTGGCTCCCAGAACCATCCCGAAACAGCTACGAATGTCCCGAGTCAACTACGAATCATGTAAGAATTAAGTAAGAACATTCGTCATATTCGTAACTTAGTCGTAGGTGATTCTTACAATTCGTGCATGATCCGTACATGATCCGTCATTCGTACATGTTTCTTAACCCATTCCAGGCCTTATTCATATTTTTCAACCCGATCAGCCACGTAAGTTTGCATTATTGGCCGAATCATCCCGAATTTCGAAAGTTTCCTATTCGGGATGATTCGGGATATTCGTGGTCGGAGTGAAAGGGGGGCATTAGGGACTGCTTGGTGTGTTTAATTGGAGAAAATACAACACATGCAGCTCTTGTAAATACCCGCTGAAGAGTGAATGTAGTACCGACCTGACACTCTATTTTTGCATATTTATACGTGAATACTTAATGTGTACTCGTTTGTATCCGTTGGCTTTATCCTGTCGCAAAACCTCTCCATTATATAAAAATGGATATAACTGACAATATCCAGCGTCTTGTAGGCAGAGCATTAACACTTGCTAAAACGAAGGTCTTAAAGAGTAGATACATTCATCTGCACTTACGTCTTGCACTTACAACAGTGACACCTGCACAAATGACATCCATTAAGAGTAGATACTTCATCACCTGTGTAGTTTATCACCTGTGCATATATAATGACGACACCTGCAAGAACGACATTCGTTTATAGTAAACCACTCCTCTTTTCACATTAGGTGTCAATCTGTGTTATTCCCTCTCTAAGTATTCGTAATGTCATGCACCCACATTGATCACAATGCTGGATCCACCCCTGACATATTTTTATGTTACTGTATATATATATGCAGATGCTGTGTTATTAGCTACATCACCTGTGAAGATCCGGGGTAGAACAACTTCAACAACCGATGCATGCTGTAAAGGCGACTATGCTTATCGTAAGAGGCGACTAACGGGATCGGGTGGTCAGGCTCGCTGACTTGATTGATGCATCATATCCCAATTGCGTGGATAGATGCTCATGCTGTCAATCACTGGCTTGTCTGGTCCAGACTCGATTATTTACAGACCATCGTCATATAGCTGGAATATTGCTGAAGGCGGCGTTAAACACCAAACAAACAAAATATTAGCTACATCCCTTGATGGTGGGGGATTAAACGTGTAAATACCTAAAACACAAGTCTTATTATTTGGCGGGTCCAGAAGGGACCACGACTGGAAATACGGTGGCAGAGAATGTAGATGACTATATATCTTGGAATTATAATCCAAAACTATTATTTTCAATTAAACTAAGGCTATCTTGCAATCAGCTTGTGTTGTTGCGATATGATCCTCAATGCTATTTATCTTTCCTTCAGCCAACTCACGAATACTATCATGTTTTAATGCTTTCTTTTGCATGTGGCGAGAAAGATACTACTCTAATGATGACTAGATATTAATCAGCTAACTACCCATTCTCCAACCCCACTGAAATAAGTGCAAATTGCGCTTACCTATGTACAAAGACGATAAAATTTAAATTGTAGTTGTTTAAATGATAAAACAACTGATTAACTGAAGTGGTTACGGAGGTGACATAAGCGGATGATGCGGTCTTGGGCGGGAGTGCTCACATGCATGTGGTCTTCGAGGACAATTGTTGTTGTTGTTTGTTCCTGGTAACGGTGCCAAAGTCGTCCTATGGTGATCCGTGAAACGTTCAGTTTCATTTCCACGGTTGACTAAGAATAACCAGATTCCAAATGGCAAATGGCACCGGAAGTCTAGGCATGACTTACAACGTCTACTGCTCCTTGTGTAGGTAATGAAAACAGTCGAGACTCCTGAACCTTATTTCCACTAATGTGGTCATAGTACGTGCATCAATTTTTGTCTGAGATTCATGGGACTTTCACTATAATGTTGTATCTTTCTTTCTTTATTTTTGGCACTCAGTGGCAAACGTGGTGTTTTCGGTGCATGTGTGAAAACCTACACCATGCACATTGTGAAACCATTTAGTGATACTGATACCCATGAATCACTTACATAATTTTTCCAACCATGCGTTTCTTTTTTTGAGTTACATATATACCTTAAACGTTGTCCGGAAATTAACTTTTTTCCTTCATCGCCAGTAAGCCTTGATCACAAACTGTGGTGCGACATTTCTTCATTATATTTACAGACAATTAGCATCCACACTTTCCGAACTCTTTTTTCACTGCACATTTACTTCACTCTTTATGTATGTGGTGAGCAACAGTACCATATCTCTCCTTAAAAGTTAATATCCTGGTCATGTCTTTGCTCCTATGTGATGTAGGCGATGTTGTACGCACTGATGGGGATGGGGACACAGGAGGAGACGTCAGCACAAGTTCTTGGGTGTCGTTAACGCTTACGCCACAAGTCTCTTTCTCGGGTGACTCTGGGGTGTTGATGTACTCCTGATAAGAGTTTTTCACAACCTCCCTGTCCACAGCGTGACTCTCATTCAGCCTGTCAAACTCTCTCACCAGTTTCCCCTTCCCTGTTTCAAGATGGTCAAGTTTCATTTCTATCTTGTCCACGGCTGACTCCAACTTTTCCCTTTCAGTAGCCTGTGTCTGGCAGCTGCGATTCAACATGGCCACGTGCTCCGTTAGTGACGTCACATCTTGTTGCAAGCTTGAT